CCCCCCCTCCCCTCTCTCCCTCTCTCCCTCTCTCCCTCTCTCCCTCTCTCCCTCTCCCTCCCTCTCGTTTTCCCCCCTTCCCTTTTACCCTCTTTCGCTGCATCCTGACGCAGCTGCGGAGGCCCAAGCCGCCCCATTCGCCTTAACACACTCTTATTGGTTGGCCTTGTTAGGCAACAGTCTCATCAGACACCTCAATCCCGCTTCAACTGGAACTGGTTCGCCTCGAGTAGGCTTGAACCTAGCCAACTGATTGGCTAGACTGGGAGGGGGGGGAAGAGGAAATTCAAAAAAGGAATCCCAACCATAAACCATGAAGTTGGAGAAAAAGAAAGAAGAAAGAAGAACAAGAAAAAAACAATAACCTCCCCACTTTCTTCCTTTCCCCTTTCCCTCCACTCTCTCTCATCATCATCATCGTCCCTCCTATCATACTCGTACACTATCGTGACCTTCTTGCTCCAATCACTGTTGATCTAACTGGTGCTTGTACTGCACGTGATGATCTCGACCCTTCCCCATGAGTCCACTGTTACTTTTGTACTTGTAGCATGATAGGGTACAAGTACTTGTACTGTACTCGTACATCTTTATTTCATGCTCTTCCTTGCCTCCTTCCTTCCTCCCCCTCCCCTTCTTATGGATCAGGAATACCGATACTCAACCGCATCTCGCCACCAAACTTTAACCCACAGAAAGAGGGAGAAAATCTCCATCACATCCCAGGAAGCAAGTAATAATAGTAATAATCCCCCCAATCGTTCTTACCGCTGCAGCCCTTTTTTTTTTCTTTTCCTTTTTTCCTTTTTTTCCTTTTCCTCTCACCCATCTTGTGCGATTCAGTCGGTCCAGTCCAGTCCAGTCATCCACTCCCTCCCTCCCTCCCTCCCTTCTCACCGCGATGTGCACACCACAAGAATCACTTTCCGTTCGCCTCAATCCGAGTGATAACCCCCCTTCCTTCCTTCATTCCTTCCCTCACTCCATTTGCCCCCCCCCCCCCCCGCGTGCGCGCAACCCCCACCCCCCCTACCCCTAACGCACCAGTCGAGGCGATCGAGAAAGAATGCCACTTACGGCAGGTGAAAACAAAACTTGTCTGCCCTAACGCGCTCCATTTTTCTACCTCTCTGCGAGTACTTGTACTCGAGTACTCGTACACTCCTCGATACAGTTTATCCCCCCATCATTCTCATTCGATTTGATTGGATCACTCGCAGCGATGTAGCGTATCGCTTGCTTGCTTGTCCGACTTGCGCGCGCAAATCGGCTTTTGGTGGGAAACCCGTTGCGCACGAGTACTAGACCGTACTTGTTGCGATAAATAGATACCGTGCAAGCAAGGTATCATAAATAGGGAAATAGTGGTATAATAATAATATATATATATGAAGAAAGAAAAAAGGAAGGTTCAGCATCTGCGTCCGTGTGTTTTTCTCAGTCTCAGTCAAACTCTGTGAATGATAATACCTACCGTAACCGAACCGGGGGGGGGGGGGGGCGACTTGTTTGGTTGGCGTGGTTGGGCGCTGGGGCTGGGGCTTGTGTTCGTTGGTTGTTGGGGCCGTTAGTCTAGTCTGCGGTGCATTTGTCCATCTACCTATCCCACCAAGATGATGGATCAAAAGGAACAGACCGACTGACGGACAGACAGATTGGCGATTGGTCGAGCAACCGGCTAGCTCTCTCCCCCTCTCTCTGCCTCGCTCTCTCTCTCTCTCGCACAACCCCAACCTACCATACTGCGCTGTGCTCACCTGCAGCTTACGTTCTGAACATTCTGCCAGAGGGACCTGAGAATGACAGCGGTATGCTATTTAATCTAAACCCCCCCATCATATCGTATCATACATAACCCTGTACTAGCACAGTACTCGAGCACAATTTCAAAGTCACCTAGCGGACCTGTCGTGTATCGTGGGTAGCACATCGCGCACGCTTTTTACAGCTTTCCTCTGCGATACTTCTCTGTATTGTGCCCTAGCACTCCATTACTATATATCGCTTCATATCGCTTCTCCCTTTTGCTGTGGCCAAGTTTTGAATGAGCTGTGTGAGTCCGTGTGTATGCGCGGGCGGTGGGTGGGTGAGGATTGAGTGAAAGTGTGCGTCCCGATCATGTTATTACTGCGAGTTTAATCCTTTTCTTACCGTCTCTATGCGAACATGTGCAAGGCAGGCGGCGAAACAGATCTGATATTCCTGTGCCCACAGGTCTTATGAGCTGTGGTTACGGCTACCCAATTTCAAAGCGCCGAGCGCTCGTGATTGGCCCAGTTATCGTTCGAAATAAAAAAGAAAAAAAAAAGCATATCATACTTGTACGCTGCTGCCCGCCCTGCCAGTAATAAATAATCTGCCTGGGGTAGGTTCGCCGCGAGGCAGATTGTGTGTGTGTGCAGCGTGTTTTTATCGTATCGTGCTCCGAGCGTGATCAGTAAAATGCAACCCATTCCACTGGTGCGCCGATTAAAATCTCACGGAGTGTCTCTCCCTTTTCCCTTCCAGCCCTATCGTATTACGCTACTCTCCAAAGAAATGGGAATAAATGTCATCATTACATGAAAGGAAATTAATCAGGACAGTGGAAAGGATGTAATCGAGAAAAGGAGAATCGCTGAATAGGGAGAGCCCGGAACCAACTTTTGAAATTCAGAGCCGAAATCACCAGACAGGGGGGGGGGGGGGGGCTCAAAGATCTCATCTTATCATATCCATGTACCAGAAACTCCATAACACGTAACCCTCGAATCGGTCATGACTCGAAACACACTATTTCTGTAGCCTTGGAAAAAAGAATGGACCAAATAAGAGAGAGAGAGAGAGTTTGGAGAGAAAGAATGAAAGGGAAAAAAAAAAAAAAAAGAGACGTGGGTAGTGCTGCGATAAAAGCATCCGATACGCGCTCTCAAAACAAGACGGGTTTTAAGAAATAAACGTGGAGTAAACATAGAAAACCCCATCAGAAAACCAGCTCCGCCAAATGGTGACCTTCACATTCCTAAAAACATTTCACAAAAGAATACTAAAACAGAAATGACTTTTAACTATTTGAGCTCCTTTGAGGTATCAATCCGTAAAGAAACCCATCAAGCGTTCAATGATATTATCACTACACAGACGTGAAATACTTGCCAAATCACTCGGAAACAGTCACGAGGGTCTCATGATGTTGTGTATGGCGCGTTTAGGTAGTCATCTGTGGGGTCAACAGCCGTAACTACTGTCCCAGGAATTCCGAGATCATCCTGCTGAGGCTGTGGATAGAAATTGTATGCGTTTGCGTGTGCGACTGTCTGCGAGTGGATCTGTCCATGGGCACCTTGGACCTGCCCCGATGCATGTCCGTATGCAAAGTATTGTGGTTGTTGCGGCATTTGCTGTTGATGTATGAGAGGGCTGCGATGCTGTGGGTACTGTAAACAAGGCTGAGGCGGAGGTGAAACATCAATATATCTGCCGGCTTGAGTTGCTATTCTCTGTGGTGTTGTTACCCCTGAACTTGTTGGGGTATGCTGTTGCTGCTGCTGCTGTGGACTTAATGAATAGATATCGCGGTCCGGGTTATTTGAAAAATCAAATTCACTGTTGGTCCCCATTGCTAGCTGCTGCTGCTGCTGCATTCGCAGATTCTGTTCTGCACCGAAGCTATGAGGGCTAACGAACTGCGGGGCCCTCAGCGGTGTTTGGATTCCAAATCGATCATCCACGTTGGGTGAGCTACGTGGAGGGGTGTATTGCAGATGTGCTGGATCCAAGCCGAAAGCAGAAGCATCTGGAGAGTGGAACTGTGGTGGGATTGCATCGCAGTCCCCGCCTCCGGTGAGCTGTCTTTGCGTTGTGTCCGTGGGATCAATATCCATCTCCATATCCGGCTGTTGTATCGGTGGTGGCGGTGGCGGTTTGGAAGGCTCGGGTTTAGACGAAGCGCTGTTTTGTTGAACACGTTTGCTGGCAGCTGATGGCCTGGCACTGGGAGGTACCACCGCATCATCCTTTATCAAGTCCAGTACTGGGAGTGATATTTGCTCCATATGCCTTGCCAAGTGCACCGTCAACTTCTTCCACGTCGGGCATACATTTCCGCAGAACCTGCACTTTTCCTGCGTGGGGTGCTTGGTTGTGACTTGATGGCAGGAATCAACGATTTGCCAGACCCTGTCAAAGTCCTCTTGCGAGGGTGCGCCCTCGTTCGTGCCGGCAGCGCCCTTCTTGACCTTCCTAGCAGCTGCCTTCTGAGCTTTGACCTTGGGTTCCGGCATCTTATGCTCGCGAACTAGATGCTGAACGAAATTGTCCTTCCTGTAGCAGGTATGAGTGCAGTCAGGCAACGTGCAAGTCCACCACTCTAAGTGCCTATGTCGTTCGTTTTCATGTCTAACCCAATCGGCTTTCCGCTTAAAGGATTTGGGCTCCGTGCATTCCACAAACGTGCAGGTAAAGGGTTGGACATCTTCGTGAACGTGCTTAGTCCAATCGGATGGTTTCTGGAACTTCTTCACCTTGAAGCAAATCGGACACTCAAATTCGGCTGGCAAGCGTAAGACTGGTGGTTGCGGAACCCCCGGTGGGAATTGTGTTGCAGTAACTTTGCCTTCGGTCGGAGAGTGCGACCCGTCACCAACAGTCTCATCGGAAGAGTAGGCTGGGGGGGGTCGTGTTAGTAGAACTCATATTAGGAATCTCATTGGACGATAGGGGTGGTCGAACCTTCCCCCTCTACACTTCCCCCGCTTGTGTTCCTCTTGTGCCCATTGGCGGAAGGATCGCCACCGGGACCAATTGAACCAACAGGACCCCTGCACTTGGTCGCATTTCCGCATCTCCTCCCACCCCTGATCGCAGCCAAATGCTTCTGTCTATGTTCCACGAGCTTTTTAAATCTTTTACCTTGCTCATAGACGACTCTATCAACGAGTTTCGGATGCAACGCTGGCGTGAGGCCACGGACGTGCTGAGAGAAACCCTCAGGGTTGGGGGTAATATCTAGTTTTGGCAAAGGTGGTCTGGCTCCAGGGGGGGCGGTATGCTGGTTATTTTGCATGTCATCCTCATCCATATCATTATCGTCATCCTCATCGTAACCATCATGTCTATGTGGGTCTGGAGGGCAAAGCAACTTTGCTGCGGCAGTCCCACGTTTTCTAGATTCTTCCCCAAATGTAAAGTTTCTCCTTGGAGACTCGCTTTCGGCACTCTGGACCGGCGACCCTATGGGAAGAGCTGGCGGTCCTCCATACTGTCCCAACATGCTGACAATGCCGAATACTGGCTTTTCCTTCTGCAATTTCGACGATGATATATCACTCTTGCTTCTTGCCCTCTTCACTGTTTGTGCAATGAATCCTCCACTTAATGATCGGGTTGGTGGACTGATTATACCAGCTGTGCTCGCAGTGTGCGCTGTATGAGCTGAGCTTTGCCCGGCGCCAGCCGCCATCCCAGCTATCTGAGCAATTGCTCCGCCGATATTCTTTGTATCGACTCTCAATGGACTCTTGGGAGCCGGTTTTGCGAAGCTACTTCCTCGTTTTATGGGGGCGAATGCGTGACTAGCCGTACTCGCGAGCGATGCGGCAGAGTTACCCCTTTTCCTTCCTTCCGTGCTTAAACCAGTTCCAAGTCTCTCCTTCTCCTTCTCCTTCTCCCGTTCTCTATCGCCCGCATTGCTAAACCCTCGCTTCAGTCTCGAAGGTATTGTGCCCCACATACTAGGTCTTCGCTGGTGATTCAATTGCTTCTCCTTCTCCTTCTCCTTATCTTTCTCCCTCCCAAAACTCAAGCTTTTCAATAACCCATTTGCCAGAAATCTGTCGGCGTCGCCAGCACTCAGGCGTCGGGATTTGCTCATCTGACTACCAAATGTTGCTACCCGGGATGCTGTCTCGATGTTTTCGGCATAACGACAGAACTTGATGATTGCTGCGTTTGCAGTGTTGGGCTGGTTCCTTGAAGTAATCGCCGCCCCCCTACCGACTTGCGCAACGGTGTCATTCCAAGGATGCGCTGAGTAGAACTGATTTGGTCTTGGGTAGTATTGGGGGTCGGTCTCACGGCGTTTCTGCTCCGCTTCCTCTTCTTCTGCTGTCTTCCTCAATTCTATTTCCGAAGGCGGGTTTTCGCCCGTGTCCATTGGGCCTCGGTCCTCCAATGGGTCGTCCAGGCTGCCCTCAATGAACGAAGAAGCTACTGAAGAATCGTCGATTTCGTAATCATATGCGCCAGGTAGACCTGTATCGTCGTCCTCGTCGAACAGCACTGCTCCTGTCGTCGGGCTACTCTCGCCGGGTCTGACAGAATCGTCTTTACTTTTAGGTGGCACCACTGGTCTTCTTCGGAAGTCGGCGAGACTCCTCGATCGTTTCTTGTCGGCTGGCTTGACGGAAAGATTTGTATTCCTACTAAGCCAGTCTTCAATATCGGCGTTTTTCTCTTCAATTCCTCGTATTATTTCCTGCTCCTTGAGTGAAAAAGGGAGGTCTCCGAGTCCTAATTCAACCTCTCGCCTTGCAGTTGGGTCCAATCCACCTTTCCAGCTCCCATCTTCTCCTCTATTCACAGTCAGATTGTCCCCACCCTGAGCGGCCCCAGTCCCTGAACTCGAAGAAGATCCGGTCGGGGCATGTGAAGTGGGGGTTGGGTGCATTCCATTGTCCTGGGGCGTGAACTCCTCCACCTTAACTACCGGGCTTTTGCGGAAATTGCTGTTCACAGCCGTAAAACCGCAAAGGTTACTCGCAGTTAGCCCCGCTGGGCTAGGGGAAACGGTTGGCCGAGGGCTCGGCGGATGGTAAATCCCTAGATTCCTATTCACAGGAGACGAATATGGACCGGACAATTGATCCAAAGGGTCAATTCCTTCATCATAAAGAGCCGTATTTTCATCGGCAAGTGGTGGCATATCAACCTCATCGAAACCAGGTGTTGTATTCACGCTATAGCCGGGGCCGAGATCTCTTTCTGGTGATGAGCCAGGGTCAACAACAAAGCTCACGGGGGGTGATAATGTTGACGAGGGGCCTTCGGGGTAGGTGTGACCTAGGTTGCGAGTGTAGTAAGAGTGTTGACTTGTTGCTGGCGAAATTCCGCCGCTTCCGTTGGTCAGTGAAGGCGAGTGACCTTGGTTCGGGTGAGGTTGATTGATGGCCGACAGTAATGGGGAGTTCGTGCGAGGATAAGTCGGCGGCTGGAGGGAAGGGACTGCCGGTTGTGGACGCTCAGAGAGATGAGTGTTGCCACTTCCCGATAAGCCGAAGAGGTTTGTATCAAATGTGCCCGGGCCATGCGCGGAGTTTGGCGTTGGGTAGACATTCCGGGAATTCGATCCATCACTTTCGGTGATTACTGGCGGAGTTCGGCTGTGTCGAGGATATTGTGGAGAGGCCATTATTTTGTCGGATACTCGAATGCTGGATTGTTTGGGGTTTGGGGAGATGTGCTGATGGAAGTGGTCAAGATTCTTGGTGCAAAGATAACTGTCGCGATGGTGGGGCAGACGTATCGGAAGAGTTAGTGGGGTTGCACAAGGTTTGGATGGGTTGACAGTGATCTCAGCAGCGTTCTAACCGATTTCATCTGTTAGTAAATTATTTTTAGCTCAAGTTACCGCTACCGATTCGCTAATCAAGAAATCGATAGCACTTATCGACATTTGAACGCTAGAGGAGAGATGGACACTGGCAAATCAAGTGGAGCAAAGCACACCAGATGCCCGGGTGGGAAAAGGCATAAAAAGGGGAATGTGAAAGGGAAATCAGTTGCCTTGTGCGTGCGGACAATGACCAGGCAGGGCAAGACAGGAAGGGATTGGTGGACGCGAGCAAGCTCTTAGATCGAACCAAAGATTTGTCCAGTATGCCGAAAGGACAAGCCGAGACCTTACCCCTGCATCACAGGGCTAAAAATTGCTACCCAAAGACTGAGAAGGGATCTAAAATACGAAGGGGAAAAGGGGGAATAGGAGATATAGATAGAAGCCTTAAGAAGCGACATAATGAAATCAAAATATATGCTTACCGATTGGGACACAGAAATCCCAAAAAGAGCCCCTCAGACCGCTCGAACCCGAGTTTGGCGAAGTTGTGGTTAGCGATGCTAAGAGATTTCGGCTTCCTTCGCCTGTAAAAGGGACGTCCTTCTACCAGGTGACTAGGCGATGAACTTCTGCTACTGTGTTTCGCCTCGGGGAGTGGCGACAATCGATTGATGAGTAGATAGTCCCAGAATGTATTTCATACCAGCGAAGTCACTTGTAAGCCGACACGAAGCCCCAGGCTAGAGGAACGCACACGGGCCGCGCAGGCCCTAGGGAGTTGTGCAACGTTTGGGGCGTTGCCGCTACTCTGCAACTCCTGAGCAAGATGAAGGAAGGAGGGCAAGAATCTGGGGCTCCGAAGTAAATTGCGGGGTTAAATTGTAATAAGGAAGCTCTGCGAGGAGATCGGGGGGGCCTCGGAAGAAGCAAATCGTCAGGAAGATTATCGGGTTGTGCGGGTGGTATATAGGGCTTGGTGTTCTAGTGGGTTTCTGGATTATGGGGAAAGCCGGCGCAGTAGCGGCGTTGCTTCGCGGGATGGCTGGGCTGTACCGTATCGCTTCTCCCTGGAGGTGATATCGACGCACCAAGGATTGATAGAAATCCCGGTCTCCTGTTGTAGCACCGAGGCGGCCTATCTGTCTTTAGAAACCTTACTCCGAACCCAGTTGTGTTCAATGTGGTTGGTTGGGGGAGAAGAGAGGAGGGGCTTGGGGCTTGGTGCGGTTGGGAATGACGATGAGTGAAGCGGAATGATAAGTACGCTGGCTTCCGCTCGACTCAGGTGGGTGAAGCCTGACGGCGGCCAAAAGAGAGCGAATAAGGTTCAGCAAGGAAAAAGGAAAAAGGAAACCAAAGGGGGTCTTTTTTTGGACCCTTTCCTCCCCACCGGGCACACGCTCACTCGGAAAGCGTAATGAGGAACAGGACGAAAACGTACTAGCAAATGTAGAGAAGAGGGTTGAGAAGGGGAGGTGATGACGGTGGATCGCTCACTCCTTTCACTTCTCCCCCTTCTTCGCTTCCTTCAATACCAGCGTGTGCGAAAAAGAAAAAAAAAAGAGGCTCGGCAAACGGGCTGCCCGTCGGGCGGAGCAGAATAAGGGTATGGATGATATAATTTATTAGTATGCTAGGACCAAGCAGATTATGTAGGAGATGCGTTCCCGCACGATTGGCCCGGCAGTTCGGGGGTGGGGGACCCGTGGGAGGGCGAGAGAATGAATGAATGGGTGAACGAATAACGGGGGGGGGGGGGGGAGGATATCAAGCAGGAACAGAGAGAGAACTCTGCGGAGGAATAATGGTTCTGTCAATGCGGGGCTTGTACGGCGCTCGTAGAGGTTGGTGTTCGGGGCGCAGGATCGTGGCTCTCGCTCGAGAACCCTCAGAAAAATCGTGATACTGGTGGTGAAGGGTGGATGGGTGGAGCGCGGCAGAGGTGGGTGGATAGGAACGTGATCGCTTGGGAGATCAGTTCGAGGGGAAGAAGGAGCAGGAGTCTCTCTCACTGCACCAACAGGGTGCACTGGTGATGTATGATGTACGTATCTGGTGGGTGTGTGTAGTCTGCCTTGTATAATATCGAGAGGGATGCTCTGTCGCCAGGAGGGATTTAGGAGTGGGGTGGGAGTGTTGGGTTAGGCGTGGTGAGGAAGAGGGGGGGGTAATGTGGTTTCAGAAGGAGAAGAAGAAGCGTACGGTGCGGTAGGGAGGGGCTGAGGGTGGTAAATGCAGTGTATCGTACGGTAGGGTAGCTGGTTTGGTCCAGTCCAGCTCAAGCATCTGCAGCACGATGCGGCACCAGTAATTATACGGTACTCGAGTACCGTACACTGTGCTCGTACAGTACACTACCGGCGGGGGCAGCAAATACAAGTAGCACAAGTCAATCCTCTTTGTGATCATGATAGACAGGCAGCCGGGTAGGCTGACCGACTGACTGAGAAACACCGCGGGATCGCGGAGTACCGTATTGTTACCCATCAGGGACAACTGAACCGCCGTGGCTGGTAACGGGAAAGAGTTCTCGGTGCTTGTGAACGGTATGGCGTATGGGACTATTGTAGGTTTGATTTATTTCCTCGTGACAACTCCATGAAGAAGCCTTTACCCCACGGGGGCCGCTGGTCGGAGGGTGACGGATTGACTGCGATCTCTTCTCCAGTAGTCTAATGAGCGCCATTCACCATCTCTAATGATTCTTACCTATAATTTTGGTTAGTTGGCAGATTCTATAGAAGTTTCCCCCCTTGCTCCGACAGGAGACGGTAGGTAGGGTCAGCAGTGGCGGATCGTCGAGACATTAATGGTGGGATGAGATATTTGGCGATCATCTAAAAGCGGAGCGGATCCAATAAGAAGAAGAGCTCCAGTCAGTCTCATCATCTCGATCCCGTCCGCTCGAGTACCACGGCAGTAGTGTGCTAAATTCTGGCTACGGTAAACTGCGAGAAAATTCTCTCAGATCGCTCAGGGTTGATCCGTAGGGCGGCCCGAGGCTCTGCGCAAGGTTCCTGGGAAGTTGACCAAGGCACTTTTACGGAAGAGCCATGAGGAGCACACCCGTAATACAATTCACTGAGGGCACTTCCACCTTTCATTTCTTTGTGCTAAGAGTGCCGGAGTAAATATAATTTCCGGGGCCCGAGGCGTTAAGCACTGCCGCTCCTCCCGACCGAAGCGAACCAGCCGAGCAGGCCGACTGTGATATCATACCGCTATGATGGCACCCCCTCCGCTCGACTCTCGGCTTCCCCGCTCCATTCAACCGATCAGTCCGAACACGCAACTCCTCCAGGCCCTCGACCAAACCCTAGCGATGCCTACGGCACCCCACGATACCGCTGTTGTGCAAGTAAAGTCGGCTAACCTTAGTCATCCAAACAGCCATTCTTTATCCCCCCCACCTGGTTTGTCCCCTTCCCTTCCGCAGCCATCCGGGAACACAATACGAGCGGTTTAACAAAAGTCCCCTTCGTTTTTGGAATGTGATACGGGTATTGTACCGGCAGCCCAAAAGTGCAATGCTGTGCGATACCCTCAACACAGCCCTGGGGTTCCATTATCAAGCCTGGGTGCTAGCGGAGGTGGTTCCGCGAGCGGCTGTGCGAGAGCGCGAGGCGAAATGGTCTACCGGTACGGGCTGTGTGGGGGGAGAGGATAGCTTGTGGCATCGTACCATACCGGTACTGGGAGTACGGTGGACTGCACGTGTTGCCCAGGCGCTTCGTTGTGGAGTAACGTTGATTAAGCAAGTCAGGCTTTGCCATTGTGGTTGTTTTTCGTGAGTAGATGCGGGCTATGGACTACGGTTTAGACTAGTGATGCATCTGATCGTTGGTCATTCGATGGCATCGCACGGGGAACGGGGCTCATCTTTAAGGTGTGGCGGATCCAAACTAAACTTGCCCAATGGTCCCCAACCTAGTCCTGACGGATGCAGGCACTGTGATGACAAGTTATGCTCAGGATCGCCGGGAGGGCCTTTCGCCAGAAACCGGCACATAGACTGTATCCTGCAGACTCTTGAAATTGGCCACTCTATAGATCCTGTTGGCACTTTATAATATTACGCAAATTCACCACATCCAGACCCCATCAATGAGGGCTCTGAAACGTTGTCCCAGAACACATCAACACTTGAGGGGCCCGGATACGGATCAAGCGTTCCCAGGTACAGGGTAGTGGACAAGGATTTTGGACGCGCTGTAACCTACCGTATCATACCTGGATGTATGATACGATAGCACTTGCTCATGTAAGGACTAGTTATTCAGTAGACATCTTATATTGGCCCTAACTCTAGGGTATATGGTAATACTTGTAAGAATCAGGGCTGGAAACCTATATAAAAGCTTTGGCTATTCAGGATCTCTAACCATACAAGTTACGATTTTCCTCGACAACGATGGGTGGTCCGTTTGTGAGGGATGCGTGGGTTGGTTGTGGTTTCGTCTGCTTGGGATTGAACGCTTGGAGGTTTCCATTGGGTCAAGAACGTACTTTAACATTAACCTAGTTTGGTTTCACTGGTAACTTTACTGTGCTCGTGCTAGTTTTGGCGTATTTTGCTCCTGCCCAGTTGCGAATCTCCATCCACCCACCAGACCCTCTCCGCAGGCAATGGCTGCACCCCCCAGATCATGGAATGCTTATCATGTACTGCGCAGTATTATACGATACGGTGCAGTGCCTGATATCAAGCCGTGGGATTAGCAAAAAGAGAGAAAGCCAATTGGCGGTGGTTTGTTTCGCAAAAAATAATAGTAACATTTTTCCCTAGTCCCGGGAATGAGAGACATTGTCTAATTAGCCTTATATTCTCCTGAATGAAAGATTCAATTATTGCGGTAGACATGTTGAGTGTGTATTTACAGGCCATAAGCTAACTGCAGTCCTATATCCTGTGTGGGCCTCTGATATCAGAAACTCTCCCAAAAAAGCGGGGGGGGGGCACCCCACCACAAGCTGCGATACGCCTGAGTGCCCAAGATCCTCTACTTAATGAAGCTTGTAGCAGGCTGCTCCCGCGTATATGAATACTATAAAAAAAATAGAATCAGAATCCCCGGATCCTCAGCCACTTGACCCATATTTTCATAATAATCTACTCGGGCGACGATGCAATAGACATGAGGTGTTGGTGTTCTCCAAAAATTTCCCCCATTCTGACGTGATTTTGCTGAGTTGCGATGGGAGGAATCGTGGACCAGAAATGAGTTGTGACTAGTTGATATATGGGTGAAACGAGATTTTCCTCTACGTAGCCGGCCGAGATGGAGGTATTGGTGGTGGGACGGGGGTGAGCGGGTGTATGGGTGGCCTGGACGGGCTGGGCGAAGGCGGTGCTCTAGGGATGGGATTTGCACTAGTGATCTATGCTTGGTCCGCAAGCTTTGAACTGAGCAGTCGGAAAAGGTGGTTAAATGGGAGCTATCACAACTGATGGCTGAGAATAAGACTTGAGTGGGGGAGAGTAGTAGTGAACGGTACGGCCCATGCAAAGTCTATTATATGCTTCTGGATCTAGCTGGGGCGTTTGAGATGTAGGGGTAAGCTCGGGACAGCCAAGGGACTGTGCTAAAAATGTAACACGGCTTGAACGTCCTGGTTTATGTGGTCTGGTATCAGTGCCCTGTTTTGTGCCATACTAGGTACCCACTATCATTGGGGAAGGAACCTGTCAAAGGTGCACAGTCCGCGGGCTCCCGGTTAGCTGCAAGGTTAAGGGTTAAAGCCTCCCTTTGATCGGCTATGATTCCGTGGATAAGAGGGGGCAATCTCATTTCTCCCGTGCCGCTCCTGTGGACACACTTACCGGTACATGGTGTGCTTGTGCCACAATTAGTCGATGAGTCACCCTGACACTACCTGGGGACTCGGGGTTCTAATACTACATAGAGCATTCTGTTTAAGACGAATCCCGAGTGAGCGCTTGTGACCACAACAACCCCGCTCTGGTCATGACGTGAAATGCAACCTAGGGCTGAATGTGAGGCCCAGGGTCCTCGGCAACTAGCCCCCACACCTAAAGGATATTGTAGCCGAGCATCCACGGGGCCGGTGCGACGACGGGAATGCGGTCCCCAAGGAGAAACACACTCAGGCCGCTCAGCTACCGATGATGTGCGGACGACTGAACAGACGGCATTTTCGCAATCAGGTCAGGGGTAGAGGAGCACAGACAGCTTCATGGACTGTGGCCTGATGCTCCCTGTAAGGGTGGTAATCCAAGCATGAAGATGCCAGCGCCGGCCGTCTGTTTCAAGCATGGCTACGCCGACAACATATTGTTCGTCAGCTGCGACCTGCTCTGAATATACCAGAGTTAGAGGGCTTTGTGCGTGTGCGAATTCGATATTATTGACAACACTCCGATCGCTTCTGTGTGACAATCGTGACGACAACAACTCATCCCCACCCACTGCCGTGAGTTGCCCCGGCTCTCTAGAATAGACAAGAGCGGGGCCCCCTCACCCCTTCGCCGCCCACCGCTCCCTTGCTCTTATTAGCCATGCTCTGCGCAGCAGTCATCACGCCCCCCTCAGTGAACTGTATCTTGGTGTATATATGCGGTAGTCCTACCGCGCTGTCCCACGAACCTTTCCCAGCCTGTCGTACTAGGTCGCATGACCATCTTGTTCGATGTTTCATCAGAGCATGGTTTCATGGGGGATCGGGAGATCCCTTTCGTTCCCATGCGTCTTGGGGATTTTTCTCACCCGTTGTGCCGTGGCCCCGCTTTCCCTCCCATTTCCCTCATTCCAGAGCACGATTTTCTCCCTGGCTCGGGCGCCCGTTCCAAGGGCAAGCCGCACGCCACCTGTCTGCAGCTGTACACTTTTTTCGAGTGATATTCTATGAGCGGATAACTGTTCAGTGTATCTTCGGGAACGCTTTTCCTCCCCACCAAATTGCCTGATTGAGTCTACCCCCACTGTTAAGCGCTCGCGCACGAAGCTACAAACATGGATAGTCTGGCCCCTTGCGGTGCCGTTACCAGAGACCGTACTCGGGTGTAACTCGGTCCGACACCATGGCAGTCCCAAGTAATTTAGCAGAAAGGGGGCCGTGATTGACACAATTGTACTCAAAATAACTCGGCCTTCCCTCAGCATCCCGCCGCCGCCGCCAAAATCCTCCAAAGCGAAGTTCTCGGTCAGTTGCAACAATTTATGAGTGACATCCTATGAGGATATCATGTGTGACGTCAGAGAGCATCCGATAGCACTGATCCGATAGCAACTCCCCCATCTCAACAACACACAAACTGACACCCAACGAGATACTCCGCAATCCCCATATCATATTTACCAGTTCACCGGTATACAGTAACTTATATCCAAGTTACCCGTCTCTGATCAGGACCCTAGATTCCTGCCAAGCCCAGCACAGCGCACTTCCGCCAACCAAAAACGCGGCACGATAATAATAATAATAGTAGTAGATAAAAAAGTAAATAGAGTAGAATAAAATAAGATAAAGTGAAAGGGGGTGGAATATGATAAGGCGGGGCAAATAACAGGCTTAGCCCGACCAAAAGCCGGCTTTATTCGGATTTTCTCTGCCGCGTCAGCAGCCTACTTTCCCACTCGTGCCCTACTATCAACAAACCATCACCACAACTTACCTATAATACCTTTGCCTACATACCATGAAACAGCTGTATCCCCCCCGCCAGAAGCAACAACAATGCTCGGAAACGACCTCATAGCGTCCTATGAAGTCGACTACAAACTCCTGAAAACCATCATCGACCGAAGACTCGACCATGTACGGGATTTATATGGCGAGCCAAGGAAGGCCGTCATGAGAGAGATTGAAAGGGCGGTTGATGACGCTGACGAGATTGTAGGCTTTTCTGTTTATCCATCCATTTATTTCCCCGTTCGCCCATCTCTTATCCCCTGTCATGACGCCTCCGCGAACTGACTGTCATATGATAACACAGCTCGCACAAATTAGCGAGGAAGGAAGGGTACTACAAGGCGCGCAGCGCGGACGGCTTAGGATTAGGCTGAGGGGGTGCGTTCGAGATATGGATGCCGCTCGGAGGGCTCTGGCGGTGGTGCGTGCCACGGTACCCGGGAGGAGACGGGGAAATTTCGATCAGGAGGGGGAGGAGGATGTTGCGGACGTGTGGGCGCGTGAACGGGCGGAAGACTGGACAAAACGTAGTGGTGTTGGTGGTGGTGGTCGTGTAGACCTTGAGAGCGGGGTTCCCGGTGGGGGGGTTGGAGTGGGCCACGGGGGCCAGGTTGAGAACGTCCGAAGTGAGAATCGGCATGTTGAAGCTGCACGTGCTGGTGATAACGGAGAAAGACCAGGTTTCATTCGGAGGTCCTTACTTCCCTCCCCTGCCCTTATGCCCCCGGTACGGCCCGCGATGCTGAAACTGAAACAAAAAAACACAGGTTTGCTATTGGGCGAAGGATAGCAATCGCCATCATCTCGATATTAGCAATGTTTATACTAATAAACATTTCCTCGCACGTTAGGTGATCTCATGTGCATCGTCATGGGTTAGGGTTTACCTCTGACGGTCTCGTTTCATTCGTTAATATCACAATCGTAGAAGGTTTAGGGGGCCCTCTATTCTGGATCAGAAGAGTGGTAATTTGTGCAGGAATCGGGTTCGTGAATAGCAGATTTTTTTTTTTCTTGGGAGGATGCGTTGCGTTGTTTGCGGGCGGGGTTAGGGCCAGAGTGGGGGTGACACGTAGGCTTGTTCACAATATATCACTCGGTATCTTTCGGAATTTCACAGCATCAGTTTATTGTTTGTTTGAGACTCGGGTTTTCTCTTTTCATTTAGGATAGGCGGTAAAACGTTGGAAGAATATGTAGGGGGGGTTCTCTAATATGATATCATAATTGAATTCTTATTCTGCAGCCCGTGTTCAACTACCCTCGGTCATGCTGTCCTGGGTTTCGTCCCTTCACGCCCTGTAGCAAACTATGGCATGGGTCAACTATTTATGGAGAATATTTCACAGGGGAGATTGCATCAGCGAGGGGGGGGTTGAGAGATAGTAAATGCGGTGCATGCACTCTCCAAGCAGGAGTCCGCGGCACGCTGGCAGAATGTCATCTTGGGAAAGCAGTTTTGAACGTAAGGGAACAGGAGGCCCAAATGCAGAGCTAACGGAGGAGCAAAGAGGGCAAGCCTTTCTTCCATTCATGGGCCATGAAACTTTAGACTACCGCATCTCGATGCCTTGTGAGAGGGAAAATTAACACACCAGACCTAGGGGAACATGTGGATGCCCCCCCAAAGGCAATGGGGGGGGGGGTATGGCGTAGGGCGATATCATACAAATAAGTTTATTCATAGATTACATCAATAATTCACACACTAATAACCCGATCTCTATGAAATGCCCTACAGGAGCCAAAGGCGATTCAGTTTACACCAGGAATCACTCGTGCCCCCAAGAATTCAATCGGTTAACCTTAGTTTGGCCCGGGTTCCCAATGCCACAAACCCCTTCCCACAGGTACCCCCCCCCCCCCCCAATGTCGCAAATTGGTTATGGGTTTGATATAAGTCTAAATCAAATTCGGGGGTTGCCCCTCTCGAGGTATTCTGGGCCCCAGATGGGTTTCGGGGCTAGCGTGGAGCGGGCTAAATTGAGGTATGGTTCCGGAAGACGGACCCAGAGGGGGCCTTCCAACCATGACCCCCACCAACGCCGCAAGGAGACCCTACGGACCTCGGCACATCCAATCGGAGAAGTTATTTCAAGCTCTCGACGCAGGAATACATGTGAAGAAGGAAATAAGAGGTGTGCCTTGGATGTGGAAGAAAGGGGCACCAAATCAGGGACTGCCAAGTCCCCAAGGTGAAAATAAGAGAGATGGCCATCAAAGAAGATGGGGATACCTAGGGGGGTTTAGGCTGCGAAGATCCCCAGTAAGAAATGGTCTGAGGGACCGCAAATGGAAACCAATCGAGGGATTCAACCTCTACACGGTACTCAATAACATGGAATCCTTGGACAATGAATCATATTACACCATCATTAAGATACAGCTCTAGATCGGCCTGAAACACGGAATCGAACCATAACATTAGAGTTCCAAGGCGCGATGTGATAAGCCTTACACTTAGTGCTGCATTCAAATTCCTCCACCCTTTCATTCAAAGTTTGGTATATAGTTTGGTCTTCCGGAACAGTACTTGCCAGGGCAGAAGTATACTATACATATTGTATAAACCTGTGATATGAACCAATTTTTCTTTTGTATGCGTTCTTCCTTAGCCAAACTTGGCTAGTCAGGAGTGAAAGATCCAGGCTTCAAGATGTCTGTTGATAGTATAGCAAGAAAGAATAAAAGTAAAAGTAAAAATAAAAACAAAAACAAACAAACTCCCGCTGATATAATACGTTCAATACTCAATTTAAGTGACCTTATGCTCTATGGGGGGTAAGAGGGGAGGAATGGCGCCTCCCTCGAGGTAACCCGAACCACTTGATGCTCCCAGAGCGGTAGACTGGAAGGTGGTGGGTTAGGATTGGTAGACTGAGGGCTAAGAGATTCGGTATTTTCCGAGGCAATCGAGTGAGAGCCAGTGAGTCTTTTATCATGCCGGAATAGATGGAGGAGTGGTGCAGTAAGATTCCGAGTGATAACTAGGCATTAAAAGTAGACGTCCTTCAAGTTACGGCGCCCGTAGAGCATATTTGTGTGCTAACAGACACTGATTGAATCACCTGGCCATGTCAAAACAGGTTGGAGGGTCGAGAGAATATGCGTTAGCGAAATGTCATTTCCCACTATACCCCCCTTCCAAGGGGTTGCAATTGTTAGGGTGATTCGAAGTAATTCACAAATACAATTGCACTGCTTTAAAAACTCATCCATCTCCTCGCCAGTCCCTGGGAGAGAGACTATATTGGGGTGACCAACAGATATAGCAGCGGTATAGTGTGGGAATGGTTTGGGCTTTGGCGTTATGCGAGACTGGTGCGACCAGGAACCCCGTTATCCCATCTGTCCCTCCTTGCTCCTCAAGCTAAACTAACGCCAAAGACAGGAGTCTACGTAAACATAATCAATGCACTTCGATCCGCCCATTGATCACTACACCACAATACACTCCCGGGATGTCAAAGGAAAGATATGTCGGGAGTGATGAAGGTGAATGGAGAGCACGGATGAATGAAGCAACACAAGTGCGATGAAATGCAAGAAAGTGAAGAAGGATGGTGAAAGAATGGATGATAGTGAAATCTAACGATGAGAACTGATTGTCGAAACCTCGCCTCTGGCTAAGGACAGAATGGGAGATATATATCTCCTAAGCAACCAGAACTCTGGAACTCCAAAGAAACACCATGAACACAAAAGAACTACTCATCCTGACGAACCATGATCCTCCGTGCTCCACAATAATCTAAAGCTCTCATGAACCTCTAACAAAGAACCAGATGCCTAGAGGCATCAGGCGTGAAAGAAACCAAACCACATCACCAATGCCCTATGGCAACAGGAAACATCATCAACAAGAAACCCAACACCTAAGCCCTAGAAGCATGAACCATCTATCCGCATAACAACCAACTCACATGCCCGATAGGCACTCCAACAGGGAGAACCTTCTCTCAAAATCACCAAAGCTCCAGAACAATCCACAATATTCCCAAAAAAAACAACCAGACACCCCCCTTACTCCTAGAATCGTCCACAACATCTTGTCGTCCTTCTAGATGCTCTAAAAGCCAGAAATTTTACTGTACACCATGTAATATTCTCCAGAAATGCACCTCTCGTAAACCCATATGCCACACCCCCTGTACCGGGGACTTTCAACCTCTCCAGTTGTATACCCTCGGGGTAGAAGGATTCTTCGGCAGTTAAGCTATCTACACTCTCATAATTCCCACGAATACACAGCGTGGTGGATTTTGGCGGTTTTCCCCCTCATTGACAATATTATAGCAAACCACAATACTACCTGGCATGATAGCCAAGTGATTATAGTTGAAGTTGTTGAAGTTGCCGGCGAAACGTAATGGGTTTCGGTTAATCGTGGAGCTTTCGGGAAAGTTAGAGGCTTTTTCTTTTGTGCTGGAGTTATCGTGACTGAGTAAGAAAGTTTCTCCATATATGTCTGTCCTTTGTTATCACGGCTATGCGGAAGAATAGGGACATGCATGTAGGAAACGAGAGATGTGCGGTGATCCATGGAAGGATCAGGATGTTTTCATTTCGTCCTTGTTTATATTCCTATCTCCACCATTAGTTTAGAGGAGACGACGAATTGGAGAACCAAATTTATGACCATACCTTTCTTACTGCCCCCCCCCGTCAAGCCCCATTCTATTCCACTCCCAGTACCGCTTCGCCATCCAGCCTCCCCAATATCCTCCAATAATTGCAAGAATGGCCACAAAACAAAGTTTTGGGAGGCAGTAGGGGTTCAGCGCCTACGGGGGATGAATGTGGAAAGGGAACAAAAAAAACACGAAAATGACCCAGAAAGCCATTCGTTTCCCATCTACCTTGCCATACTAGCTTATCTTCTTGATCTGAATTATCTACACCTATTGCTTTAAAACCCTCAACGGCACCGGTCGGAGCATTTTTGGAGAAATAATCTCAAAATGCGGGGAGAAAACGAAAAGTGCACGGCCAACAATACCTCAAATCCGGTCACGAAATAACAATTTTTCAGGGCAATCCACTGTTACATCCTTTCAGCTGTGCCCTCTATTGGTTATACCACGGGGGCTTTGAGCCGTACAAATTGTCCAGGTAGAGCGCTGGACGGGCATAAGGGGTACAGCGTAGTTAGAGGTCTCAAATGTTGGATTACCATCCTGAGACAGCGCGGGCTGGTGCAAGGCTCGAGGAAGGGTCCTGAGCTAGGTGTGCGGTTTCCTGTAAATCTTCGGTACGCCTTAGGTATTCCCTCAAATCTTGTAGTATCTAAGGTATCGTCAACCTCTATCGCTGCAATTAGTCCAACACTTGTGGCGGCTTCTCCATGGCTGGCCCTCTTAACCAGCCCATAACAAGGAGCTCATCAGGGAAAAGCCGGCAAATAATTTAGCCAAGATACCCTCGCCTCTTGAGCAATTTGTTGGGCTCGGGATGCGGCCTTGGCCCTTGAGAACTCTTTAACACAGCTATTATGTTACTTTAGATAGATATTTTGCACCTCCACCAAGACGAACTGAATCCCCCCTCCAAGCGGAACAGTCCCTCGAAATATTGATAAGCTAAAGGCGGCTAATCACTAAATATGAAGCGAATAAAAAATGTATTGCAATGGTAGTCATTTTCCATCACTCGAGCGTCTCCCCTGCAGTTTGCAGCTATGCCTTCATTACCGCAGCCAGACGTGAAGAACTATCTCAGGTATTACTAGCCCCGTTTAAAATCTAGTTTCCGCCTTTGCATCAACTTCGCTATCAATAAGTAATAGCCCTACCGCTTCTCTATCTGATCATGGCCATGCGACATGTCTCCCGCCTGGCGCAGATAGGGGTGAACAGGATGGCCGATGTCCTAGCAACTGGC